TAATTTTTTTTTTTTTTTGGGTTGTTAGGATCATTTGAAGTACAGGAGAGTTTGGATGATCGAATCTGATAGTATAGATTTAAAAGACTAACTATAGCAAACTGCATATAGATACTATTTAGGTAATCAGGTAAGTTTTAGTTTAATAGTCAGACATATGAAAATATAAATTCAAATATAAAAAGTTTGCTTTGCAAACTGTTTAAATAAAGTTGAGGCATGGCTGCTAAATTTAAAAAAAATATATATATATATATATATATAAATAGATAATAGAAAAATTAAATACTAAGGTCTAGTGATTTAGTATAGTAATTAGGTTATTAGACTGCTATGCAATAGGTCTAGAGTTCAAATTTTACTGTCAATTAATTTGAATAATTTCTCAAACCTAATGATATATTATAGTAAACTCTGTTTATTTCTGAAGGTGTACTTCTATAAATTGAGTTATACTAAATTGATCAGAACTTGAATATATAATATAATATTATATAAATAAATCTTAATAGAATATACAAGCAAAGAATCTATATAGTAGAAATTCTAAGTTAGTAAAGTAATATAGCCTTCTGATAGAACTATATTAGTTAAAGTCTAATCTAGAAAGAAAACTTAGTCTAATAAAGGTAGAAAGTTTTGAGATCTTTAAGTAAAAAGTAATTAGGACTAGCTAGATACTAAAAATAACTAAGTCAACTAACTAGTAGAAGACTATTGTAGAATCTGAAGTTGTATAAACATCTAAAGAGTCTAAGCTAGATAAATCTATAAAATAAGTATAGACTACTCTAGTAAGTTTACTTTAAGGTTAACTAGCTTTGCAATACTAACAATATATTTAATATAATATATATATATTTTTTTTTTTTTTAAACTTAGACAATCTTATCCTTTATTTTATTAGGCACATATCTTAAAGATATTTAAACAAATATATAAATAAAAGAAAAAAATTCTAATTTATATTATGCTCACCTTGTTGCAATTCTAGATTCACTCAGCTGCTCAGATAGTGCCCAAGTGCGATCTGCTGTAGCAGCATAATTTTTCTTCTAAAACTAGATATATAACTAACATACTGTCTAGTCTTAATCAGCAGAAGGCTACTATTAGCTTATATCAAGACTGCCTTAGCTAGACTACTCTAACCTTAATTCTAGATACTACTCTAAGAAAAAAGTTAGAATATAATCTAACTAATATGAAGAAAAATAAAAAATTGTATAAGATCTAAGTAGTAACGATCTATACTAAATATCTAGACTATAAAAAAAACCTGCTACAGGTTAAAACAAACTAGACTAGATTATAAAACAAAATAAAAAGAGAAGAAAAAAGAAAAAAAGAAAAATGAGAAAGAGAAGTAGTATACTATACTGCTCCTAGCATAGCTCTAATAAAAATTGTATATAGCTACTCTTCTATGTTTTTCACTATAACTTAAAAAATTTTAATCTATGCCTAGAGGAGTTTACTTTAGAACTGAATCTAGGTGGCCTTCCACAGAGGTTTCCTATAATATATGCTTCAGCTAATATATATTTGTTTATATAGACCTGAATATAAATAGGCAGTTCTCAATATATTTTGTTAATCATAGATCTTTTGACAGAAGTAGCTGATTTTCTTAATTTGCCTCAAAAAACAATGAAGCTAGTAAAAGAGAAAGTTCAAAAGATATATTCAGAAAAACCTTGCTTGTAGAGTATATTATAATGACTGTAAGACTATGTTACTTTAAAAGAACATAATAATAGAGCAAGTATATATTTGTTTTTCATAACCCAAACAAAATACTTAACAAAAGCTTCTAGCAGTACCACTTCTATTCGAAAGTTTCTAGATATAATATAGGCCACAACTTTAAGATAGTATTTTTAAACTGCTACGAGCTGAACATTTTAATTCTTCTATATTACTAGAAGAAGTTATATATTCTTTTGTTATATTTTCCTTCTTTTTTTACAGGTCAGTATTGCTTTACATAGGTTCAAGTAATCATTAGGAAGAGTGTATATTAATAGTTTTGGATATAATATATTTTAAGAGGACCTAAGCTATTCTAAATAAATAGATTTGTAACAAGCTAGCTAGCTTAAGCAGTTAGGTATTGTAGTGATATTAGATTAGATTTGTATAGGTTAATAAACAGAGTATTTAAATAGATAACTCATAGATAGGCTACAGATATAGTAGCATAGTGTAGAACTAATTAGATAGCCTAATATCTGTATAGCAAACTATTTAAAATAGATAATAACTAAAGTTGTATATATGATTTGTTATACACTTTTCATATAATTACAAATAGTAAAAATTATCAATATATAATCTTGTTTGCAATACTAATAAATTTTTTTTGGCAATATAAACTACCTTAATAAAAAAAAAAGAAAGAAAAATCAAATACTATATTTTTAATATAAATAGTTTTCAGAAAATGTTATCATATAAATATACTCTAATTGTATAAAGTTTTTTGAAATTTGTATAATCTATACTATTATTTTTAGTACTTTTCTACAATAAAATATCATATATTGTAATTATTATGTTGACTTTATTGTTTCACTTTTTAGATTTGTATATATCTAGTAATCTTTTAGAATATAATCTAATAATAATCTTAAATATATTATATATAACTCTAAAATTATATTTTTGTTTAATCAAAGATCTATTCCTTAATCTGTAAGCTATAGCAAGTAAATTTGCTTGCTTAATAGTTCAAATATAGTAATGATCTATTTTTTTAAAAAATTAAAATTATTAAATAAAAATTCATATATAAATATTTAAAAATAAAAATTATCTTTTAGTAATATTTATTTTTATATTATAAAATAAAAATTTTGTATTATATAAGCTAAAAATAGCTAATTTTATGAAAAATTTTTATTCAAAAATTTTATCAGTATTTTTAAACAAACTTTTTTAATTTAAGTTTTAAAAATATAATTTTTAAAGCAATTTGATAAAACTTTTAAAAGATTACAACTTTAATTATTACAATTTTTATAATTTATTTGTAAAAATTTAAACTTATATTAGAAGTAAAAAAATTTTTTTTTTGATATTAAGATGGCTTCTTTTGCTAATTAGATTTTATTAATTTGTTATTATGAAGTTATCTAGTAGTAATATCCTAAGATTTTATAGTTATATAATGAGTATACAATAAGCTATATATATAACTTTAGTCATTATCTAATTTAAGTAGTTTACTATACAGACAATTGATCATCTATTGGTTCTATACTATGCTGCTATACCTGCAACCTACCTGTGAGTTGCCTATTTTAAACACTCTGATTATTAACTCTTCTCTCTATTCTAAACTAATATTACTACTATATCTAACTGCTTAAACTAGCTGACTTACCTATAAATCTATTTACTACATAACTTAAATCCTTTCAAGATATGTATTTACTCAATATGTAAGTACACAAAACTCTAGTTAACCTTAGAAGCATACCTACTAGAGCAGTCTGTGCCTATTTCATGAATTTATCTAACTTAGACTCTTGCAATATTTATACAGCCCCAATTCCTACTGTAGCTCTCCACTTGTATATGTTTTCTGATCTCACCAAGACTTATCATGAGTTAAATCCTCCTAAATCTGAAATGAAAATTTTTTTTAACTTCAAAAATATATAAAATTTAAAAAGTTCTAGAACAAAAATTTTATAGTAAAAATTTTTAAAGTAAAACTTTAAAAATTTCTAATAAATTTGAAAAAATTTCTTAATAAAATTAATAAAACAGATATTTAAAATTATTTTTTAATTAGTAAATATATTATTAAAATCAATATTTAAAATTTTATCTAATTGTAAAAAATATTAAATAAATTAGCAAGCAAATTTGCTTGCTCTAGATTAAGAGATCTGTTAAGTTCTTTGTTGAATTTGTAATAACAGCAGATGCTAGACTTTGGATCTCCCTCTAAAAATATTCAAAATATTTTATTATGAAAAAATGAAACATAGTTTAGATACTGGAATTTCAATATACTTACTCGTCATACATAAATTTTCAGTTATATGTTAAGATACTTTTCGACATCATGTTTGTAAAATTATTGGAAAACAAGGCTTCTGAGATCAATGTTTGAAATCATAGGTGCTTTCATATAACAAAAATCACACATTAATGATAAGTTCCTTAACATAAAGATGGATATAATGAACTTACTAAATTTGGATTAATCTTCGTATAGAATTGACCTTTTAATCAAAATGTAATTAATAAATTTTTTATTAATTCATATGAAACACGTGAAGGAGAACAGAATACCCTTAATAGTAGGTTAAAATTTTCTTAAAAATGAAATTTGGTCTTTATTCACAACTTACCTCAATCGTACACTTGTCAATTTCTGTAATTAAATCATCCGACTTCTTTTCAATAGCCTGATTAATTCAAATGTAAACTAATAATCAAATGATCAAAATGAAACAAAGATATAAGTACTCATTACCTGTTCAATCTTATCAAATAAGTTATACAACTCATCTTTTTCATCTATATCTTTAAATTCTACCGTTTTGTTAAAATCGCTTTTCATTTCTGACCATTCATTATCAGTGAAAAGTTTCTTTACTTCCTTATCTTCACCGGATAAATCAAGTATACCAAAAAATATGGGACTGGAAAACAAGTATTGAAAATATAAATTATCGTAAAGGAAAATATTGCAATTAAGTTATTAAAATAAGTGCTTACTATAGGTATACTTTTGATTTCGAAATTTCTGATCTAAATGTCTACAAAATTTTAGTGACGTTTTTTCCTGTTGAGAGTATTCACATATCGAATGCAGTGCTTTCCATTTGTTCAGCTTCTGGTTGACAGATTTCTTCTTCAGTTTCACTCTATTAGAAATAATAAAAAAAGTTAGCCATCCAAAAACACGTTTGATCTTAATGAATATGCAAAATCTAATAAATAAATAAGGTCATGTAAGAAAAAGGTGTTTATTTACCTCCTCATTCAAGAAATTCATTAAGACTTCATCTTCGTGTTTAAAGACTTCTTCATGTTCTTGGAACTTGCAAAGACAAGTAACGTCAGTAATATATTTCATCACAAAAACAATACAGATTTAAGTATAAACCTAATTTTGGTACGAAATTATATACATCATGTCGAATTCGTTTTTCATTAGGCAAAGTTTCTTCATTATCCTCCATTGTTCGTTTTTCATTTGATATGTTAGGCAAAATTTCTTCATTGCCTTTTATTCCTGATACGTTTCGTAAGAATTTGAAAATTTATGTTCCGAGAATATTGTTGAATCAAGTAGTCTAATTTTCTCAGTAAATTGCTTGTCAATGTTAAGTTGAAAGAATTCGGTATATAACTTCCTACAGTTTTGCTTTATGAAGGAGCCTTCAAAGGTTTCACAAATATCAAGAAAATCTTTGCATAATGAAGTTATAGAAGATGAAATTTTTTTAATGCTATTTTGTGAAATAAGCTGCAGAGATGTTTGCCAATCATTGTAAACAGTAGACAATGGTAAAATTATTTCATCATTTTTCAAACGAAAACTTAAATAATGTTTCAACTGCCAAAATCTAGCTTCTACTTTCTTAAAGTAAACATAAGTATTATACTCGTCAGGCACTGTAAAGTCCAGGTATTTAATACTTCTAAGTACTGCAGTCATGATCCGCAACCAATTGTATATAAAAAAAAGTCTACAGAGAAAATATATTGGACGCGTTCTGTGAACGTGATCATATAATAATATATTGGGTTAAAATCATTCATATACTGTATATATTGTTAACAATACAAAAACTCGCGTGACCAAGGGTAAGTAACCTTACGAAAGAGGTGTGTTAGATTTGGCGGGTGAGTAGTTTAGGCTCAGGTTATTCAGTTCAAGAACGTTAAGTCACGTGAGCAAGAATTTAAGCGAACAATGGATTATAATTCAAGTTTATCGAGGGACTTAGGGTAGCTGTGTTATTATAATGTTATGAGCGGTTTATTTGATAAAATTGGGACTTTATTATTTTTGTGAAGCAAACGAGACTTTTTTCTCACAAGGGCCATTTCAGCTTTTATTTATAATATTATTTTTCTGCGATACATATTACATTTATTTAATACGTATATCCCCTACATCCCATATATTTTGCATATGTCGCATTCGTTATATGGAGTGTCGTCAATTATAAATGAAAGTCGATTTGCATAATGAAAAATAAAGATAATGTAGAAGAAAAATTACACAAGGCCAAGCACATCACGAGATTACCCGATAGTCGCCTGTTACTTTTAACCAATCAAAATCGTGAAATTTGGTTAATCCGGATCAGTCCGAAAATCATTGTCAACTAAAAGGGCCCATTTTTACATTTTTAAAATCGATTTGCATAATGAAAAATAGAGATAATGTAGAAGAATGTAAAGAAAAATTACACGAGGCCAAGCACATCACGAGATTACCCGATAGTTGCCTGTTATTTTTAACCAATCAAAATCGTGAAATTTGGTCAAATGATTAAACTCAAAATGAGATATAAGTTATGCCCTTTTAGTTGACGACACTCTTCAAATTAATAGATATTTACGCTCAAAATATTAATGAATACAGTAGGCTAGAGCTTTGATCTGTTATCCGTTTTCATATTAAATTTAACGGATATTCGACGGATAATGGATCCAAGCTCTACAGTATACAGTAGGCAAAACAATTCAAAATATCCGATTTAATTAAATGTCTACTCGAGATCTTTTTAATTTTGTTTAAAAGATAATTAAATAAGAAACTAATATATAAATGAATAATAAAAATTCTCGGAATAATTTATAACATATTAAAATTAAACATAATAGATATGATTTTTGGTGTTGATGACTCTCTCGAGAAATAGAATTACTAATTCGTATCCCCGTATCCATTTATGGTTAGGGAATTTATAAGAAAAAACTTAGTGAAATGAGATGTCTAATTACGTATTTTTTTTTGACATGCTTGGCGAAATTGATTTATTAGTAGACGAAAATAAATCTGACAAATTTTTAATTGAAATATTATTATGAACTTGCTATCTAAGTTTATAAAAAAATTTCTTTGTGTTAATCGCAAAATGATGGATCTATCCGTCAATTAAAAATTAATTTCGGCAAGCATCTTATACATCTCTGCTAATTTGTGGAATTGGTCCTTTATTTAAGTCCCTCAAATTTAATAGATCTGCTTTTTAAAAAAATTGCAGAGCTTGAAGCTCAGCAATTTTTTAAAAAAGCAGATACCGGTATATTAAATTTAGGGACTTAAATAAAGGACCAATTCCACAAATTAGCAAAGATGAACATTATTTTAATATCTAATTTAGGAATTAGTTTTTGGAATGTTACCTTGCTCTAGTAAAATTAGAGTGAATTAAATTGTAAAATTGGTTTATTAAAATGCGCACAAATGAAGAAAAGTAAATTATTTCCTTTTATTGCGCGGGGAAATAATAAAATTTATCTTTAGTAACACATAATATCGGGTAAAATTAGGAATATCTTAAAAAGTAAATTAAACAAAATATTTTGGTAATACAACATGCAATACTACGTACAGCCATCGATTGTTAACTATAAAAGGATAAAATTTAAGGCTTAGTCGTAATTACGTGTAAAAAATGTTGTTCTATATACTTCTAATAGCACTCCTTCAAGGAAGCATTCTTGCCGCAAACACAAAAAAAGGGGCAGATTTATACAGCAGGCCGAGTGGGAGCGTTGCTAATCCATTTCCAACGGTAATTCAAGAAAAATATACAGGGAATGGAATTAACTTTTTGGTCATTGGTGATTGGGGACAGAAAGGTCCTGGTACTGGTCAACTTCAAGTAGCAGCCGCTATGAAAACTTGGGCTGATAGCAATAAAACTACTTTCATTATAAATGTTGGTGGTAAGCTTAAAGAAGAATTCGCCTATTTTTTTTTTCACTTGTTTGAATTTGGTAAAATAATAATAATAATTTATTTTATTTTTGGACTTCTTTATTATCTCACAGATAGTTTTTATCGAACAAGTAACTCCAACACTACGGCTCTTGACCCAAATGACCATGAAGGTGTATTAAATGAAACGGATCCAAAATGGAATACTTATTGGTTAGATGTATATAATGGCACATTAAGTGAAATAACTTGGTATACGGTAGCAGGAAACCATGATTGGTACGCAAATGTCACTGCGGAAGTCGACTATTTTTGGGATATTAACTCTAGATTCTTCATTCCCGCTCTTTATTACGTTCGACAAGTTACATTCAGTAATAATGTTATAGCAACCTTTATTCACATAGACACCGATCCTTTTTATTATAATTATTCTACTTATACAAAGAATGATGATATGAAATCGAATGAATTGAATTTAAATTTATACACAACTAATCAAACTGATGTTATATTACAATGGCTCGAACAACAGTTAATTAACGCTCAGGGTTCTGATTGGATTTTCGTTGTCGGTCATCATCCACTTGTTGGCGATTGCGCACTTTATAATCCTTCCCAATATTATTTAATGTATGAATTTCCTCCTCTTCTTATAAAATATAAAGTATCTGCTTATTTTAATGGTCATGCGCATGAACTTGCAATTTCCGTCGCCAATAATACCTCTCCTGTCACTTATTTCGGTTCTGGTGCTGGTGGTGCTACGCTCGGTTCTGGCTGTGCAAATCCAACTTGGACTAACGGTTTAAGTTTTGGTTTCTTGTCTATTAATATCCCTGATAAAGGTGATACTTTGTATTACGAATTTGTTGATTCAAATACAACTGATACTCCTCCCACAATCGTTTATTCTGGTAAAATTAATTCTCGTAAACTTTCTACTACTCATGCTTCTGGCTCTACTCCTCTTTCTACTTTTAACTATAACTTTATACTCCTTCTGCTACTCCTAACTCTAACACTAACAAACATGGGACACGCCCTCTTATAAGGGTTCAAAATGCTTTAATTATAGATCAAATTACTTGATGTACCTAAATTTTATATATAAATTTATAAAAAAAAAAATCATTTAATCTTGATTTACTTCAAAAAAAAAATAAAAATAAAGGTTTCTTTTAAAGATAAAGTCGTCTTTTATATAAATTTTTGCAGGATATTAAAAATATAACTTTAAGAAAATCTTGATTCGAAGTTAAAAAATTCTTACTAGGAACGTAGTATAACGGAGTGTATGGTTTCATGGAGAGTGAAGTGTACGCAAACTCTTACATATAATTGGATTCTTAATTCATGTGAATTTTCCTGCTAATATCTATGAAGCTATTTAAATCAATTTAAAATTTGGTATTATTAAATACACTTAAGCCAATCAAAATAATTCATAATTGACTATAGTACTTACTATATTAAACTTTTGATATAGTAAAGAAATTTTGCAGCCAAGAAATTTACTATAACGAGAGTGACGTGTATTACATTATAATAATGCTGGAATAAAATCCACAATTATGTGATTTCGTAATTTTTCATAAACAAAAACTTGCGATAAATAATATTTTATCTAAAATTGATATTTTTCAGTTTAATGAAGTTAATGTTTTATTAAAAATAGTAATTTACTAATGTTCATAGAAGTTGCCTCAATTAAAAAAAAAAAGCAATTTAAATAGTTCAGAAGTTGATTTTATTTTAAAACATACGGTAGTTCATAATACAGTATTAATACTTCTACCAGTCAAATACCTTTTGAATGTCAAGCGGATCCGTAATAATAATAATGACAGAAGTTAATATATTTCAGAACTTTACCAAAACATTGATTACACAAAGGATGACTCTAATTTGGTAGGCTTCGATCAAGTCATGAAAAATTGGTCCAAATTATAAGGACTTTTAGAAATGATACTTTCTGCATTAGTTAAGAAGCTTTCAGGCTAATATTTCGGGCGAATTCGAAATATTTGGCCCGGGCGAAATGACCCCACACTGATAAAATATTTCGGAAGTCAAAAAATGAAAATTTACTATATATTTTGCGGGTTGACCCGAAATTATTTCGCTCCACGAAATTATTTTTGTTGGCGAAATATTTCGGATTTTGAAAATTGCTTTAGTCTAAAACATTACCATATTTCAGGCTGACCGTATTAGTATTTTTTCAATTATACTCATATATTTGTATTATCACTATCTGTTATAGTTATTGCGCTTTGCAAAATTATGCGACTCCGATTTTTTTTTTTTTAATATTACTATTGTCAGAGGCAATTCCGGTATACCAAAGAAAGAAGGAACCGTGCCTCAAAGTGATTCGCGAAGCCTGGAAACCGATCTAAAGACCCACATGCCAAATAGATCCCGCAGGACCAATGATCAGCAAATTCGTGGTTAAACCCGAAAAGGCATTGTTGGATAATTAACCCGATTGTCAAAATGCGGCTTAGAGATGTCAATGGGTTAAATTAACCATATCGGGATAAGTTCGTGGCCGTGTCTCAGCGCCATGATAAATTTTAAGGTTGTTCATTGAAATTTACGAAGTGAAACCTTCATTTTAGTTCTTTTCCTTTCTTTTTGTTTCTTTTCTGTGTTTCCAAAAGTTGTAAAAATTTGCCAACATATAAGAGATTAATCACGACCTTGAACGATAAAAATATATATAATAAACAAAACACTTACTCTTGCATAACGTTTCGCTACTGCCTTAACCGTGCCAAATCAAATCCCGCCTCTCTTTAAAGTAGTGTCACGTTACGCTGCGTCTTGAATCTCCTAGCGACGCTGTCGCCTTGTTTCTTTTGAGTGGAGGTAGTGTTGTTAGCCTCCGACACTATGTAGATCAGTAATCACTCGTTGATTATCAATGCTTAAACCAATTCAGGTTTACTTGAACCAAAATTTGGTTCAAGTTATCCAAAAATTCAGTTTTACTTGAACTAGAATTTGGATAGAGTTAAACCCAATTCAGGTCCACTTTAACCAGAATTTGGTTCAACCACAATTTAACTTATCTAGTATCATGATAACTATATTAAGTCACGTCATGAAAGGTTTATTTCATTTGGTGCGCCATAATAACTGTAACTATTGAAAAGACAAAAAAGAAGCGAAGTGACGTTAATTTTAAAATTTAAGACTAAAGTCCAAAAATAATTATATTACTGTAAATCTTATGGCTTTATAAAAACATTAGTTTGACTAAATTTAGTGCAATAATCGACTTGGTTCTGAGGGAGGGAAAGTATTAATAGATGCACTTTGTAAAAATTATACACTGACTTCTTTGAATCTTGCCTGGAATAATCTTGATTGTGAAGGTGTAAAAGATTAGCAGAGGCTCTTTGCAAGAATACAACTCTAATTTCTTTGAATCTTGAATATAACCCGGTTACGCACTCATTTGACTCATTTTTATAAGATATTTTTTCAAAATAGCAAATTAGAAGGATTGCAAAAATGGTGCAACAATATTTTAACAAACCCTAACATTATTTTTGATTCAGATGATTTAAATTCTCTTAAAGAAAATGAATTGATTTCACTTACTGTATTAAGTGTGACGATTTGTAAATGGATGAGATAAAAATTTGGAAATATGTTATCAAATGGAGAATTTCGCAAAATCCTAAAAACTTATCTTCCAATCCTGATTGTTGGTCTGATGAAGATATCCCAACTCTAAAGGCTACTCTAAAAAATTTCCTATCTCATATCCGTTACATTCAAATGTCTAGTAAAGATGTCGGATATTATGTATTCCTATAGTTGCTGCCGTAATTGATTTTCAGAAAAAATGCAATTACGGCATTGCGGCATTACGGCATTATGGGCATTATGGGCATTATGGTTTACGGCATTTACGGCATTCAGGTGCTTTCGGTATATGTACGGCATTACGGCATCTGCCGTAATTCAGCAATTACGGCAGCAACTATATGTATTCCCGTATTCTAAATTCTTAAAATCTTTGAAAAATCCGAATAAAAATCTTTTATCACCCAATCATAAGGTTACATCAACAATTCTACCACCGCGTATTATTTTAAAAGCAGAATTACCAAACTGATCAACCGAACCATTTTCAACTGTGCATAAATTGCGACGTGGATTGATAAAAATACAAATACATATAATATAAGAAATAATCCATATGAATTTAAATTAATTCTTCGTAGAAATAGAGATGGATTTACTCGTAAAGCTTTTTAAAATTATGTAATACGAAAGCAAATACTGTTATCATCATAAATGCTAAAGGTATTGATGATATTGAAAGAATTTTTGGTGGATATAATCCGATTGGATGGGATAGCAAAAACAATTTTTGGGTTAATTGCCAAGATCGCTTTATTTTTTCATTAAAAATAGTACTGTTCAAAATTCTATTTTAAGTCGTGTTAAAAACCCAGACCATGCATTTTTATAGATAATAATTGTGGTATAAATTTTGGTGCTCCTAATCTTGCTATGTTTTATAATTGTCAAATGAATAATGATTATGAAAGCCAATTGATATTGGTCAACCTGTTAACTAACAAGAGCATTTTGTAAATGAATATGAGGTGTTTCAAATTCATAAAAAAACCACATAAATAAAAACTAGTTCAGCTGCTCGCTAAAATAATCACGTAAATTAGTTAAATCATTATTTTTTACGTGGAAGATTTCATAACTAGCAAGGATATTATATTATTATGCGCGTAACTCTAGTTGTAAAGACACTACAAAGATAAAGTAATTGTCCGATATATCCAGAAGCAATTTTATGCAAAATCGAAATTCTAAAACTTCGTCGGATTTTTTTTATTTTTTGAATATTTTTTTTTTTTTTACTATTAATTTCGCCAGACCTCGGGCTTGCAATTTTATTTGTTGCTGACATGTTTTGCTTCAGTACGGTAAATTATAAATTTAAAAGCCTGAATTCCTTGGGATAATTATGGCACCATTGGGTAACGCAGGATAAAAAAGTTCGAAATAATAATTGAATAATTGGAACTCGAAATGTAAAAAAAAAAAAGAAAAAATAAGGATTTTGTAAAATTTGGGGCGGCGGGTAATGCAAAACGAAAAATCCACTTTGTGTGGACTAGGAGGTGGGATTCAGAATAGGAGAGGCAAGATTTGAAACGTATAATTAATTACCTGTAAATAATTATTTCGCTCTCTCAACTATTTCAAATTATCCTTTATGTTTACGGCATTAGTTAATGCTCTCCCATCGTCCGACCTAGGGATGGGCCACTGTGCAGGCTGCGCATTATTTCACTGCGCAGCCTGCGCAGAATTTTTGAGAGACTGCGCAGTGTAATTTTTATAACTCGGGCCTAGTGATGTGCCATTTATATGATACTCGAATTTTTTTAGCGTACAGTACGTACAGTACGTACAGTATGTATAGTACGTATATTGGGATTTTTTTATACCATAGTTTCGGAATATTCCGTAATCGTTTCGGAATATTTAGGAACTCGTAAATGTTATGGCCT